GAAATACGTCGTTTGGAACCCCCCATAACCCTTCTTTCTCGAAATTTGGCAGAAATAATGCTGAGTCGTATTGTAGAGTTAACGTTCAAAAATGGGGAAAGTGAAGTATTCGATAGTATTGCGTGCGACCGTTTTGCGTGCATTTCCGACCGTTTTACGTGCCTTTATTCGTTATCGTTTCGTCGTTATTGTCGTTTTTTATTCATATTTCAATATGACAGTCATTTATCACTTAACGCGTTTCGCTAACCAAGTAAGCATCATCAGGAGATGACTAAAGTCCACGCTTTGTGGTATGAAGGTTCGTTTTGCGAATTTTCAGACTCCTGAACCGAACCTTGTGGAACAATCAGCCTAACTTGTGTTACAGAGTGGTGTCGGTCAGCCAATCAGAATGGAGGAATCAAATATCGATCGAATAATTGTGTTAAATGATATTAAAACTTTGAAAATGACGTAGTCAGCGTGGGAGGTGGTGGCGTGGTAGAAAATATGTGACGATTTGTGGAAATGAATGAGTTATTAGAAAAAAAAATGGCGTAACTGTCAGAAGGGCACTAAGTTGTATATCCACTAATAATAATCGAATCTTCGCTTACAGCACGTCAAATGAAAGGATAAAAAATACAGAATTCATCGACAAGAGAATACAAAGATGAGGCAACATTTCAGAAAGGCATTAAGTCACAACTCCACTCATGATATTTGGATCTTAACGTGCAGCACATCAAATGAAAGAGAAACGAATGCAGAATGTATCGACAAAGAAAAAATAAAGATGTGCGCAACATGTAAGAAAGGAACTGAGCCACATTTTCATTAATGATAATTGAATCTCAACGTGCATTACATTGAATGGAAGGGAAACGAATGCAGAATTCATCGACAGAGAAATAAATAAAGACGACGTAACATGTCAGAAGGGCAATGAGCCGTATTTTCGTTAATAATGATTTGTTCCCAACGTGCAGCACATCAAATGAAATGAAAACGAATGCAGAATTCATCGACAGAGAAAAAACAAAGATGGCGCAACATATCAGAAGTGCACTAACCTGCCTCTTCGATAATAATATTTGCATCGTCATGTATGATATGTCAAATGAAAGGTTAACGAATGCAAAACTCGTCGACAAAGAAAAAACAAAGATAACGCAATATGTCAGAAATGCACGAACCCGCGTCTTCGTTAATAAAAGTCACATCGTCACGTGCAGCATATCAAATGGAAGGAGATATGTTGAATTTATCAACAAAGGAAAAACAAAAGAGGCAACCAAAAGCGCACTGAACCATATTTTCGTTAATAATAGTCGGATCGTCGCATTTGACATGATTCATTACCTCAAGACTGAAATGTTCAGAAGATACCAACGAAGATCTTACGGTCACTATAAGTTCTGGTATGCTTTGTTAGATATCGAATGATGCGCGCAATCTCGATAATGTTGAATGTTTGGTGATCATACAATTGGGATAATAAAGAAAATATGGATAATGGATGTTGGTCAAAAATCACCCATAGAGCTTCAAACACGACTACGAAGCGTTGAAACGTTGGTTTTTTCTATTTCCAGACCCCTTGTATTCAAACAATAAATATGGCAATATTCATTTATTATTCTATGGTGTATCGCGACAAAAATCCTCCAGAGGGCGCAACCAGTGAATTAATTCTGAATGGTCCATGCACCAGACACTTCAAGATCACATCACCTTGATTTCACTAAACCAACAAAAATAAGCAATTAATACGTCATAGTGATGGGGGGAGGCCGAGAATCAGCTGTAAACATCTACTAATATCTACATGGCTTCAACATATTTGTTAATAAAATCATACACATTAGGCAGTTTATCTCCGATATGGGCCCTCCACATTATGCTATCGATACGTTCACGACAATATTTCGGCTTACAATTTTTCCTACTATAAACATGTAATATTTCTAGGGATTACTGAATTTACTATTATAATTTATTATTATCAGTTCTCGATCTGAATATATAGACAAATAAAAACATTTCATATGTCAGAAAGTGCAAAATGAAGATATTGTTGTTCCGTACAAGTCGTGGAAGCTGACATGTCTACAAAAGGTTTATATTTCAGTCAAAGGGAGTGTTGTTATTGGATCCTATTCCACTCATTATCTCTACTATATGCATCTTGTATGGGAGAAAAACTCCCATAATCCTCATATAAACTCTCATTTATGACGTCAGTTTTTGCAACATATTTTTTTTCGAGGAAGAAAGGTTTTCTACTTCTTCACCTGCATACAGAAAATTATTCTCTCCTGAAAATATACCCCTGTCAGAATTTCATTATAGTTCGGATTTCCGTTATTTAATATGATATAAAAAGTTTTGAAATCCCTGAAAGAATCAATAAAACTAAATGAATACCTGAAAGTGCCAATTATATTGAGCAAAAAAAAACCCTGAAATGAAATTACAATAGAAAAAAAATACAACAACAATTCAAAATTGAACAAAAAAAATTAAAATATTTCAGGACGTTTCGATTGTTAGTATCCACAATCGTCCTCCAAGAGCTGCCCGTTTGGCGGTTGATGGCCGTTTTCGGGTATTCCTACACTATTAGATTTTGGCTAATTCGCAATGGAGATGGAAAAGGTCGACTCTATACATTTGGACTTGATAATAACAAAAGTTAACAACAAACATGATTTTTCAATTTATCGTAATATCGTAATATTGTCATTCACAATTCGTCCACCCACCTGTATCAGCACGAAGTAGCAGCTTTCAACAGTATGCTCCACAGACTGATAAATGTGCCCTTGTCAGAGGCGAATTTCAATTAAGAACTGAACATAATAAAAAAATATAGCCGTCAACAATGATTACGATATCAGTCTGATAAATTCTTTATCATAAAAAAAGTTATACACTCAAGCTTTGGAAGTATAAGTTGACCCAATTCGAAGAGAAGAGGATAAAAATTATAGAACCTTAAGCTACCCAAGCCAACCCACTACAAATATTTCAACAACTTAGGCATGCACATTGAGAATGGAAACAAAATTTCATATATGCCACTCACTTGATCACATGAGTTCAACTATGATAACAAGCCCATCCATTTGCAGAAGAAAGGTTTGAAACTCAACCTGTTGGAGAGTATGGAAATGAACAAATTCAAAAAATATATTCAAAAAATTTATGAATTCATACCTGACCTTTTCAGGTAGATTCATTCATTAGAAATCAGGTTGGTGAATAGGTTAGAGTATAAAATGGTTGTAATTTTAGTTTGAATTTATGCTGGATGAAGCTATTGTATAGCGAAACACGTGTCCCGGTTTTTGTAAAACCGCGACACGACATATTAAAACTAAAGGGGTTTTTGTAAAACCCCTTTAGTTTTAATATGGATTTTCATGAAGTATCAGCCAGTTCTATTCAATTGCTAAACCATAGTGTTCTTCCCCGTGGATGATCTCAGCTTGGGACCACTTGATGATATGCTGATAAGTCCAAATATGCTTTGCTATTTCCTATTTGCTGGTTTCTTCTTGCTCTGTGTGTTTCTTGTGCTCGGCCTCTTTTTTTCTTCCAATATAGGATTTTCCGCACTCGCAGAGTATCCGGTAAATGCAAATTCATGATATCGCAGTCCTTGTTTGGTGGTCTGGTTTTCGTGAAGCTGCTACGGATAGTGTTTCCGGATCTGAAGCAGATTCTGAACCTGGTTCAGATCCGCATTCAGCCAAGCAAGTGAGAATGGTCTAACAAACCCAAACCGGTCGTAACAATCAATAAACTTAGTAGAAATCAGACAAAAGTATTTTCTTAATCCCATATTTACCTACAATAAACGTTCTACTGTTTTCAGGCTACCAAAAGTGTTTCATAGCTTGTAAGACACTATACTATAGCTAAATGCAATTTCAAAATGTTTATAGTGGCTCTGTATTGTTGTTGGTTTATCCATTCATACAAGTAGGTGAAAACAATATAAGTACTTACCTACAAAGGCCAATTGAAATGGTACGCATTTGCAATAAGCATAAAAACGCAATGCAACACATTCCGATAAACAGTTTGAGGAGCTATATTCAAAGAAGGATTTGAGTTTAAATTCGTTCGGATACAAGCAGTGTCTGTGACTCATTGGTAGATTTTTCACATCTTCACTGCAGATGATTTTCGTTCCTAGAATTTGGAAATATGCCACCCTTCCTACAGATATCAATTTAATAGTAGACTGTGAACCTGGATATTCCGTTGGGTCGTGAATAAAGACCTGAAAATATTACTCCAGCTGCAATAATTACGACTAGTTATTTGTAAAGAGAAGCGTCAATCGTTTCAAAAATATATTGAAAGGTGAACTAGAGGAAAATATGAACTGGCAGGTAATAGTCAAGTGAAATTTCTATTATTTCAATCAATATCTATCCTCAAAATTGAAAAATAAATTTTCAGATATTTTTTGAAATGGGCCATTATATGAACTCAAGAAACAAGTGAGCAACTAATTGCTCCAGAAACTAACAAAAATTTCGAAAAAAAAACACTGATATATAATGTTCATGAAATGTAATGTTGAGTAATAAGTAATGTTTTTTTTTTAATTTTAATGAAGAAGCACTCACCTTTATTCCAGATGAATGTAATGAAGAATATTGAACAGGCTGAATCATAGGATTCAGAACTATCACAAGACTACTCAATAATCCATTATACGTAGTAAAAATTCCTGAAGGACTGCGGCTATTTCTGAAAGAAATGCTTTATTATTTTCTGAGAAATAAAAGCCGTCTATAGTATAAAAGGCGTACAGTTTGTGTGTTGAGTTTTCACAAAAAGATAGAGTGTGCTTAACTATGCGAGAGCAATTGTTCAAGGTGATATTGAATACCATAATTTTTATTATATGAAACATCAACCATACAAAAATAAATAGGATGTAGTTCAAATTGCCATTCAAGGATGATGTGTGTGAAATAAAATACTTAGTCAAAAAATGTACGACTCTTTCAGTTGTAATATATCAACATATTGCATATAAAAAAAGGACAGAAATCAACTAAACAGAGAAATATTCAATATGGCCGTCAAGTCCCGTTTTGTCTTGACTCGGAAAAAACAGAAGGAAATTTTTCTCTTGAAAAATCGTTTCTCAAGAAGGCAAGTGAATAGGTCATCTTATTAAAGACAATAAAAGATAGAATAGTTCTCTCTTGACAAGAAAGGACGAAAGAAGTCAGAAGAAAAGTCATATCATCAAAATTGACTTTATTTTTCATGCACAGTTCGCCAAGATGCATTTGACGGTTTCATTTTATCATTACAAATATAATTTGAAAAGAATTTTGTATAGATAATGATTGAACTAGCCGACTGTTGGTAATTGTCATGAGATGGACGAAACTGACGAAACATAGATGCAGTAAAAAAAAGGTTCCTATCTATGCATGGCCCTTTAGGAATTCGTCAGCTATAGTTTGATAATTTCACTGGGAAATACCTTTATTACATATCACTTCACTTTAGCTACATATCTCAATGAATATTTATTCTGCTGTGTCGTGGTATATACTAATCGATAGATAATTTGAACTCTATACACTGATGCTGTTAATTTTTTTGAAAATTGTAATTCTCTAATCCTTTTCAGCTTATTACTATGATGTAGTTACGCGAATTTCAGCCATTTCTTCTCTACGATTTCAAATTGAACCAAAGCGCTGCCTAAACAGCTCGAAAAATTACCCAGGCATTTGGCAATGGTAGTGTTAATGAATGCACTGTTCGACGTTGGTTTGAAAAATTTAGTTTCGGAGATTTCAGTTACGAAGATGAGCCCCAAAGTGGTCGACTACAGTAATCCCAAACGAGGATTAGAGGACCCTGATGGAGACTATAATCTATCAAAAACAATGGGTGGGATGGTTGAAAACGGATCATCTGCTCCTATACGGTTTTTAACGGTTTAAAGTGTATTGGAAATGGCAAAATGCTCGACAAGAGGGTACCCTACGATTAAAACGATCGACAGAAATTGTCACGGTTCGAGATCGACAACAGGAGACGTTCAGTAGTTCAATAGTTGGACTCCAACTGAGCCACCCAGGTACTTCGCAAAAACAAAAACTCACTAAAGAACATGGGTACTGTATGGTGGTCAGCGGTTGGTGTGATTCACTATTGCTTTCTGCAACCGGCCAAACCATAACAGCAGAGTCCTATTGTGAGGAAATTGACAAAATGTGTTGAAAACTGCGTCAGCAGCAGCAACTGGGTCAACAGAAGAGGTCCGATCCTGCTACACGATAACGCCCGTTCGCACGTTTCACAAATCACCATCCGAAAATTAAACAATTTGAGTGTTGAAGTTCTGCACCACCCACCATACTTCCAAAACTCCTTGTCAACTAATTACCATCTTGTGGAGCACGTAGAACTTCCGTCAATCAGGACAAGAAAAAACGCCCTTCGTCGACTTCATCGAATCCCAAGCATGCAATTTTTTTGCTGATGAAATCAATCAACATGTATTAGTTGGCAATAGTGCAATGACAAATGTCGCTCATTTCGATTGAATTGAATAAGTATTCGCTGAAATATTACAGTTCAAAGTAGACTCATAAAAACGAATAAATCTTTTGAAATAATCTAATAAAAAGAGTAGATTCGTAACAAAGTTAACACTCAATTGTGATGCACTGTTTTTGAGGTTGACTGTAGAAATTATGTGAAATTTATAAAAATGAAGTATGTCAATGAAATTAGACAAGTCACAAATTTAAAATAGCTTGATTTCTTACTAAGGCACAATGATAAACATTTGAAAGTGTTGAAAATTATAAAATATCAGTTTTAGACCATATGCTCTTAACCAAAAATGACACATGACACCTACATCTGTAATGGAATTCAGTTAAAATTTTGTATGTACATGAACAAACCATGAAATGAACAGTTCTGGTGCAAGTCTGATGAGAGGCATCTGCTGTTGAAATATAATCAACAATGAGAAAACTCAATGTCAAATTTATGATATTTTTAAAATTTGAATATAATCGACTGGTGAAAAAACAATTTTATTAATTAATAATTCATACAAAGTAAACGTCAACGAATGAAAGTAATCATTATTCTGATGAAAATTCGAAATTGTTATTAATTTGATATTTATGTATATTTTATCTATGTCATATACATTCTACTAAACGACCCTGAGAGTGTGGCAAACAACTTTATTTTCATTATCGACACTAAACCTAAAATAATGATTATTTTAATTTTTTTATATAATATGTGATATTTCTACTTGGAGAGTAGTAAGGAACTTGTTTGTTCTTTCCTTGAATTTGAAATATTTCCATAGCGCCTTTATTCATCTCCTGATGATGCTAACTCATTAAGCGAAACGCACGTCAGGAGACACTACTTTTATTTTGGTGTGGGAAAAGTTTTTTCAGCATTCTCATTTTACGCCAGAGGTTCCAATTCTACCTATCAAACTGGTTATATCGTTGAAAACACGCTACGCTTACCGGTTAATGCAAATTCTGAATACCAAGGAGCTTTCGTCAAGAGAAATCTAGAGTAGTCGTGACTCGTCGAGAGAAATGATATCCTTGTCAAGACAAGAGAGTAATTTTTTCTCGACTCAGTCGAGACAAGAGAAGAGAAGACGATTTCTTGTATTGCATGAGGCACCACTAAGTATTGAAATAAAAAAATCTCAATTGTTGAACTATCGAAAGTAATTTCATAAAAAACTGAGAAATAAAATCAGTCGATCTAATTTAATGTAACTTCAATGAAGTTCAAATCTAGATGAGGCTGTGAAGTTAAATTATGTATATCATGGTGAAAAGTCATAAATTGTTCTTAGAATCAAAGATATAATTACTAGTCCTGTGAATTAAGTTCCATAACACTGCTAGTTATGTCATTATATTGGTTTTGAATACATTGTATCACTATAAATTATAAAGGAAAGTCCCTCCGCCACGTGTGTACGAGAGTGAATAAACGCCTTGGAGTGAGCCTATCCTGGAAAATTCTGCCAGAAGTCTATAAATCTATTTACCATCCAGGTGTTCAATCTTTGTTTGGCAAAGCCTAAAGCGATGCCATGTTCTGATCCGATGAAGCTACTTGCTGTACCCTCCTTTGCAAGGAAGTCAGAAGACTCATTGCCTTCCAGGCCAGTATGGCCAGGAATCCAGATTAGAGATAATCTTTTGAGTCTTCCTATCGAGGAGAGTCGTTTCTTGCAATTCCAAGAGCTTCCAACGCCGCTTGACTTGTGTATAAGGTTGGATTCTTCCAATCTAGCAGTGGTTCTATCCGGGAAGCTTCTACAATACCTTTGAGGTTGAAATCTGTTTTCCTGTTGACCAGTTCTTGCCCCCTGTGAACTGAAATTCTGAAAAGCCGAAACTTGTGCGAGCTAGGGATTAACGAGGCTTCACCTTTTCACGGGCGATTACTAGCACTATTCAGCACTTCATGTATGTTATAATTACCCCAGTGCAAGGAAGTTTGACTGGGCAACATACGAGACGGCAAAAAAACTGGGGAGTCTGGAGGATATATAACCCCTAAGTATAGGTAGGGTGTTCGGGGCCTCCCCCGGAAAAATTTGCTGGCACCTGCTACGTTCACTGGGCGACAAAGTCATGAAACTGGGCTACACAAGTGACGCCCAGTTTATATGTTATTTTATGCACTGAATTACCCGGTACATCATACAATTCCCACTAATATATTAGTGGTGATGAAAAATGTTGTTCTGCTATTCATGCGGAGCTAGTTTGTATACGATGACCTACCTCCTACTCAAGTAAATTAGCAGATGTGTTGAACTATTTCAAAAAAGTATTTCCATCAAAGTGAATGCAAACAATATAATAACCGAAAGCACAATAAGCATACTTAGAAAAATTTTGAAAACCAACTGTTCAAGCTACCCGGAATTGAAGGAGCAACAATATCCATCAGCGGTCAATGATTTTGTGAATATTTCAGCACAATCGACTTTCTTTTTCTCCCAAGAACAAGACAACAACATCTCATCGCAACTTTGAGTGATTTCGCTCATCACAAAAGACATATCATTGATATCATTTTTGACAAGTATGTCTTGAAGTATTTTCAATTTGGTCATGTTGTAGTGGATATTGTTAGGATAATTGAATGCTAGCAGTTGTGGAAGGGCACTTCTAATCGTTTCTTCTTCTGTATCATTCAAGGTCCTGAAAAAATATAAAAATCAATCATTTAAGCTGGAAAAACAGAAATTGTTTCATTTTCAGTTTAATATCCATTTGAAAAAACTTCTTGATAAGTATAAGTATCTCCTAATGAATCACCGTAGATTAGGAAAATTAGTGAATACCTAAAACGGAATCAACAAAAAACCGATGACAACTGTACGATAGTTGCAATTGTCATTATTTTATGGATGCAGCCGAACAAAACAATAAATACAAAGAGAAAATAAAAAAACTCGAATTAGAAACTAGTAAAACTGATAAGAAAAGATTGTGAGCTGGTAGAATTTTGTATGAGGTCCTGAAACCATGAAAAATTTATATTTTTTGATATAAAACAAATACAACCAATTTTCTGATTGACTCTGCCGGTACTTGATGAAGATCCATAGTAATTTCACAAATTACACCGGAAACGATTTGATCTTCACAAACTTTGAATTCAAAAATATCACATGTTTCACAATAGCTTTTTCATAGTGAATAACATACTGTTATTCATATGTCGTGAAATTTTTAAAAATAAAGTTTGTGAAGATCAAATCGTTTCTGGCATAGTTTGTCAAAAACAAATCAAGCTGAAAGATATAATTCAAAAATTGACAAAGTGACTTAATCAATTTGGTAGCCAGATCTAAAAAGTTTTATGATAAGAAGTTAGTAGCTCCTCTGAATGAAATGAATCAGGTTTTGTGGAATAATTTTTGTAAGTTATCTGGAAAACAAGCAATACAAACTGATGATCCAAAACAAACTAAACTCAGCTGTGACCATGCAATTCAGAGTCCGATCAGGAATGATGCTTAGCATCAGTGCTGATGAAGCAATACTTCAAAATTTGTCCTAGCTAAAAATTTTTTTTGAAAATAATATCCTGAATACTTCTACATGATTCAGCACTAAACAGTTCAATCTAATCCAATAATGAATCTTTTGTGTTACAGATAGATGTTTTGAACTCAAACGTAGAAATAAAAACAAAATCAAATAAAATATTATGGGATCATCATATATAGCAACATAAAAAAAGGAATAGTATCAGTGAGTGCATATATATGTTATTTGCAATTTTATCAGATTCTTTATAATTTTTAAAAAGTTAATAAAATTATCCTTACAACTTCATTGAGAAAAATAAAGTAGCCGCTGTGAATATACTTAGTTTAGGAATAAACGGACTTGCAACTTTGTCAAATAATTTCGAAATGATATTTTGAGATAATAATTGTAACCATAAAAGTAGATGAACAAAGAGACCACAAGACCACTTCAAGGTCGAGCGTCGCTGGTAAGTATTTCAGAGAGAAACTTTAGTGAGTGGAAGACAGAAACGTGTGACGTCATCGACGCAGGATTCAAGCATGGAACTCGGTCTTTTTGGGACTCCGCATCACCCCTCGGCCCCCTTGTCCCGTTCCAGTCACGTGATCATAATTTAAAAAAAAATTATAGTTATGAGATTTGAACCTGGATTGTCCGCGCGGTAGACATTGTTCTTAGCCTCTACACCAACGTAAGATATTGAAAGTAACTGCGAATGTTGGGTATTTATAGCGTTAGTTTTGAAGGCAACTGTTTAGTAAATGTCATTTTTATGTAAACCTGACTTTATGAAAAAAATAATGTATAAAATATAATTATTATTACTTTCACTACTCACTACACCTCTTACAAAAGCTAAAAATCAAGTCTTTAGGATGATGACTGTCGATATTTGATGCTCCTCAAATTGTACTTAGTGCCGCAATGTGCCGATGAATGTTGAACAGGTGGTCAGTTAGCTGATATAGAAAACTACAACAGTTTGGTAATTTAGATAGAAGACACATTATCATTCAACTCGATTCGGGTAGATGTCACGTCTAACTTTTGAAAATAGTACGTTCTGTGACCCGTCTACACTCTTACCCCTGTTACACACTCACCCCACTTTACCTTATATAGATTGTGATGGAGCTGATGCCGACGAAGATTATCACTACGAGTGAAAGATTTACCACAATCACAGGAATACATTTTCTGTGATACGTTCTCACTAACTCACTTGATGTAAACTAACATAACCTACACTGGTCCGCTTCTTAAATACACTCTGATCATATCCGTCAAGACGACATAGCCATCCCCACCTCTCAGTTACATGCACCAACTCAATCTCTAAGTTGGACACATTAACGGATGCCGATACGAACAGACAGCGTTGCGCGTTGCGTACAGGACAGATGTCGAGACAGAGGACATACCGATGAATACGCATCACTCAGCCATACGCCGTGGAGTGCACATCTCGCTCTCCTACTGCTGAACGGTTGCAGCTGTCACAACACTAACTTGGTGGGCTCACACCGATGGAACATTCATTACTTGGAGGATCTTTGAAGTATGCAGACGTATGTTTATATACAGACATGCACATGATAAACCCTGTACCTTGCCTGCTGTGACGTCACACCGCTTGGTGGACTCACACCGATGGAACATTCATTACTTGGAGGATCTTTGAAATATGCCCCAACAACCAAATGCAATTACGTCATTACGTCACACACACACGAAATCTCGAAAAAATTCTGAATGGTCCATGCACCAGACACTTCAAGATCACATCACCTTGATTCCACTAAACCAACAAAAATAAGCGATTAATACGTCATAGTGGTGGGGGGAGGCCGAGAATCAGCTATAAACATCTACTACAGACATCTGAGTAGTTGAACTAACGTTGAACTAGATCGTGATCAGCAGGTCTTAGGAGTTATTTAGAGGGTATGTCTTGTAATTGAGTATTCGACACTGACTTTTTAGTTAATATGTTTCTCAATTCTCAACCCTGATGTATAATTCTTAACCTTAATGTGATGGAAACAAAGTGAAGTCGACAGTAGCGACACTTTCCATCGATCACCTTCATCAACAACAGCAGTGATATTGGTCATCAAAGTGTCGCAAAACGCATGAAACAGAAACCTTCTGGTCAATGTCGACTAGTCAATCACAACACATGATCTTTGAATGACTTTCAAGACCTCCTGATTCGGCTTCGAATGGTATTGCGGCTGGTGTGCGACCTTCACGATTCAGTTCAACTGTAATGAGTTTCACTTAAGAAAACATCACGTGTATAAATAGATGCTCTTGTGTTTTGTAAAATCGTCGACTTTTAAGATTCCTAACTATTGGAAAATATATATTATTCTCTGTCTCAATCATATAACTTATTGACNAACTCTTTGGGAGTGTATTTTTGCTGCAAAAGCGAGTTGTGCTGTATTTGTGCCAAGTAAATAAGTTGAGTTTCTGCAAACCTCTTTTCCTGAAACACGGAATACTGACACTAACCTCAATCTACATTTTAGAAGCCACATGTCTACTTCACAACAATAAATCTATATGGAAATAACAATAGCACTGCACGAAATGTAATGAATCTATCATTAATCGTCCCTAACTCCACATTGATCAAATACTCAATAATTTACGTCGGTGTCAAAATGTGTAATAAACTTCCTGAAGATATAAAGAACATTAATTTTCTTAAAACGTCTACGAAAAACTTTCATTAAAGATTGGCATTTAAACCCTATTTTAATGACGAAACGATATGAATTTGACGGTGCTTATATGTTATAATACATGTGTATTTTTACCTAGATGTGATTATTTACATGTAATTATGTATTCGTATATTTATCTGGATGTAGTTATTCACATGTTATCTTGGATAATAGTTACATACTCTCTGTCTCTCTTTTGCATAATCTACACATCCATATATAGAGTTACTTATTTGCAAAATGATTACTTCCTTTCTTTCTTTGGAAGATTCCCTCATCCTTTTTTTGCATCAAGATGGAGTAGTAGAAAGCCAAAAACTTTCTTTCTCAAAAATTAATTAGTAATATACAAAATCACATTTATTTTAAGAGAGGTAGATCATAAAATTTATACCAAAAACTTGATTGATGGACCATTTCTCCTCCATATTCCAGTTGGACCATTGTATTCGTACTGGTTATTCTAGAAATAATTCGGCTGTTTTTACATTAAAAAAAAGCATACAACCAGATAGAAATGTCTGCACAAAAATTATTATATCAATTGAATTTGGGTCCATTCCGTAAGGTATATCAAAATTATATGAGCATTTTGGATATAAAAAAGTTTGAGTGCGAACCTGTCCATAACCATTTCGCGAGTCCTGCCCTTTCATCGTCACTTCCCAAAATGGCGTCTAGATACTTTTCCACAAAGGTGGCATGGCCAAGTGTCTATGTCGATTGTTACTTATGCTGTGATATAGTAGACGAGTCCACGTACTTCCCCTACTCCTGACAAACCTTCCCAACAAAAAACATAGCGGGAACGTTCTCCCTCCACTATTGTGTCTGAAGGTCGAAAAGTCTCGTTTATATTTGATTCACCCGGTACTTTCACGGGTTCAAGTGACTTGACACGTTTGCCATTTCCATCGAGAGCGTTACATACCAGAAATACGCGACGGACTGTGGATGCTCATCGTTTTGAGGTTCAACACAGTACACCTCGAACTTCACTGTTTACAAGTTTTCCATCTTGAGAATTGCGTTTATGTGGAATAAACTGCTTGAGAACGTTTTTCAAATAAATATAATCTCCCAGCGAGTCAAATCCTATGTGAATCGCTACTTCCGCACAGGCACCGCTCTTAAGGCCTTAAGAATTTTCCTGTAGTGCTTGGGTTTTGTTTTTGAAAAAAAAACATATTTATTTTGAGCCCCGTTGCTCTCCCATGCTCCGCCACTGACCCAGTGTCGTACAAGTTTCCTAATCCGCTCGACAATTAACCGTGTAAGTAGGAGTCTGCCTGAAAAATTAGCATTTAAATTTTCCGATAGGAAAAGTGCCCAGACGCGAACACGAGATAGGGTGTAGCAATCTGGGTATTCGTTTTCCCATAAAGTAAGATCAATGGTATGCATATGAGTTTGAGGCCCTCCCGAGGGAATTTAAATATTCTCCTGTGAGGGTAGAGAAGAGAGTTTTCGATTAAGAGCGATATACGTTTCTTTTAGAATACGACGAAGGAAAAACCAGTTTGCGTAGAGGAATTTCGGAGAATATACATATTTTCCCGTTGGTATTTAGTGCAGTGAGTTGATCATTTGGAGAAATGCCCAAGAAATATTTTTCTGCTGCAAATACCTTGAAATTCATCTTGCCCAGTATGTTTGCTTCAATTTTCTGACTATTTTGTATACATCTGGTTTTAGTTCTTTGGTAAATATAGTCAAAATTGAAATTTTTACCATAAATTCACTTTGAAGACAACAACTATATACAGGGCCTTTAGCCAACTTGAAGTTCTGGAATACGTGGACTACGTGGGTGATTTTTCAAGAGGTATGGGATTTGATTTTAAAAACAACACAAAAAATCTGAAAAAATTGATGAAATCTTCTTTGGAATCGATAGAACGATCAATATTATTTAATGTAGGAAGATGATTTCATGCAAACGTTGGCGGCGGCTCCGCTTTAGATGGCCCATGCGCAAGGTCCAATTTTGGCACACTCTTTAACATATCAACCGGTATTTCACGTATAAATACTTCAATATTGACTTCCAAACGTGAGATAAACTGTTCACCGACGGCGGCTCCTAATTGGGACATTGTCCCAATTAGGACCTCGTCGCTTAACACAATTTTTCGATAAAAATGTGGATCTTCCTCCAACTTTGCCAGCGCCCATTCACCAAATGTTAGACGTTGTGGGAGGTCGTGCGGCTTCAATTCTTGCCACAGCTGTATTTTATAGGGTTTTACACCCGAATCCTTTCGCAAAATTTTACACGTAGTGGAGTAACAGAGTCCCAATTGCTGAGAACGGCGGCGAATCGACATTTCACGGTCATCACGAACACTGGCGGATACAGCCGCAATATTTTCTTCGGTCCTCACTCTACGTATGCATGTTGGAGGTTTAATGTCCAATAATGTAAATTGGGTTCGAAATTTTGTCACTAGCTTCCGAATAGCTCCCTCAGTAGACCGACGAATCTGCCCATAAATTGAAAGAAGTGCACGATGCACTTTCCTCCTCTCGAACATACGTCAACAGTTTCAGCTGTTTAGCTTGTTGGTGAGAGGTATAAAAGTTAAACGTGTTCTGCGTGTTCGGCGTTTTTCTGCTATCAAATATATTGTTCGAAGAATTTACATAAAATCATGTGTGAAACTGGAATTAGGAGCTCGAAAATACTTGAAATATTGATAGTGGCATACGTAGATTGTACTCTGAGAAAAAGAACGATGGGTACGGTAGGACGGTAACCTGGTGGATTGACGAGGCTCGACACACTCAATCGACCGCTGTGTGAACCGGTGGTTCTAACTGCAAGGCCAACCCGCCCAACCCGTGTTAGAAATCACACTTGTAAAAGTAGGACCTTGTTGAGAATTGTCGTTCGTAGAGGGGCGACAGCTGATTAACGGAAAAACAAATTTTTTTTGTTGTTTCATGATTTGTATTACTTCCTTCATCAATAAATACTTTCATTATTGTACAGAATAATTATAATCAAAGAGAATGCCATTTGTCTTTTCAATGAAAAAAATATCATATAGAACTCGGAGAAATATTCTTGGACACCTCTGTACTTCCATTGTAGATTCAACAAATATCAGAAAATCAATACTGCGACAATTCAAAACAAAATGTCTATCGCTGATAAATTTCAAATTTTCGTTCAAAATATTCGACCTCTAATGGTTTTATTCTACATCTGTCCTGTATTAAACAAGCCGGGTTCATTGTATATGTCAAAGAAGGTTAATGTATGTTGTGAAGCTTTGATACAGTTTCTGTCAATAAAATATTTTCCGCTCCGGTTGAACTTCCGCGAAGAATTCAGTTCACATTTTCTGGACATTTATTGATATGGCAGAATCCATGAGAATGTAGAAAATTGTATCGAATTGTATTGCTCAGAAAATAAAAGGCAGTGTTAGATATAACTGACAAAATTTCAAAATCGATTATCAGTATACACTGTGTCCTAGATAAAGAGAGCCATTATGGGAGCAACTGAAACCGTAGAAGAGACATACCGTTATAAGAAAAAAGTTGCTCATGATATTGAAAATTACAGGTTCATCCCAGATTTGGTCAACTTTGCGAAAGTCGTCGAGAAATGACGTTATCAAATGTAATTTCAATTCACAAACATGATTTATGAAATTCAAGGAATACTGTAAAGATTTTGCGATATTTTGTTAATTCATATGCGAAAGAAAACTTAATGTCAGAGGACACGCAGACGCGCTGTGAACATATTTCTTGACGACATTTGACAATATCAACTATAATCTATCCTTCGTGAACTTATAAGCTCATTTCTTGATTCCAAAGTGATGAAAATCTTAAAAACTCATCTGAATTGACACAAACAGTTTGTGCACTATGAAGGCTTCAACTCGGATTCGTGTATAACAATGACAGTAATAAA